AGAATACTTGTGACTTGGCTGGAGTTTTGTATTACTTTCCTTTAATAAAATATTTCGTAATAAAATCGGTTCATTCTTTTTTAATAACCCTGTAATATTAATATTTAATAATTAATAAGTACAGTTATAAAATATGATTGAGTGGCTATGGGTCCCTGATGATAATAATAATACATGACGATTATGATGATTATAATAATAATAATAATAATAATAATGCCCATGGTTTATTTAACGACTCTGACTTCGAAATATAGTGAATAACTGAATGGGAAATTGAAGGTAGTGGTCGCGGTACAATTAAAGGCAATATGCCAGCACTCGGGCACTATGCTACAAGCCGGAAGGTTGCGGGTTCAAGTCCCGATGAGGTCATTGGATTTTTTTCAATTGACTTAATCCCTCCAGCCGCACTATGGCCCTGGGGTTCACACAGCCTCTAAGTACCAGGAATTAATTAAAGAATTTTCCTGCGGAGTAAATCGCGGCCGGCGCGTAAGGCTGACAACCTTACCGCCATCTCTGAGCCTATTGTCTAGATAATGTGGGACCCTCAGCGTCTCACAAACCTATGGGCCTTCACGGCCTGTTACAGGGATATTTTTTACTTTATTACTTTTTTATGCCTGACCTCGCCTGGAGAGACTGAAAAAAAGAGACACGAAACCCCTATCAAGACAGTGTCCCAGCTGAGATTCGAACCGATCACCTTCCTAGTGCAAATCAGAAGCTTTACCGCTTGGCGGTAATAATAATATCCTCTTCTGTTGTGTACCTTACAGATGATTACTTCACTGACCTGAAGAGGACATGCGCCCAAGACGCGGCTCAGAGAACGTTGCACCAATGAACAACAGTTGACTAGAATTTTAATCTAGGTCAGTCTCTAAGGTCTTGGCGAGGCTTACGACAGTGAAAAAATGCGGATCAATGCAGCCGAGAAAAAGCAAGTACCGGGGAAGTAAGAGAGGGGGGGGGGCAAATTTCAGAGTTGGGTAAACTTTATCGGGCGCAAGAACTACACGAGGGTTTGGCAAATTACTTCTACTCTGGGGATGACAGGTGATCATTTGGATGTGGCCGGGGATGTAGAACGAATAGGGGAGAGGAAGAATGCATATAGAATATTGGTGGGAAAGCCAGAAGGAAAGAGACTACTGGGAAGACCAAGGCGTAGGTGAGTGGACAATATTAATAAGGATCTCAGAACGATAGAATGGGATGTTATGGATTGGATTGATCTGGCTCAGGATAGGGACCGCTGTAGGGCTCTTGTGAACACGGTAATGACCCTTAGGTTTCCATAAAACTCTGGGAAGTTCTTGAGTAGCTGCACAATTGACAGCTTCTCAAGAAGGGCCCAGCTCCGGGAGTGAGTGAGTCATACATCCAGTGAGTGCGGCCGAACTCAAGACACTCGTATTTACAGAAAATTTCTCGAACTACAAATGTGAACTGTGAATCTTGAATCAGGTCTCTAATGCCCAAGAATCCCACGATAAGTCTAATTGTATCATATAACTAAGAAAATAAATAAATTCCAGAGGTCTTTCGAAGCCACTGAAATGAAAACTTGGTGGACGATAATAGGACATGGAAATGTACGTTCTACGTGTACTATAAGTTACAGAGGTCGGTCCACTCTTTTCAAAACTGTCAATATTTCCAGAACTTTACATGTCTATGAAAGCAGATTTTCTCTCGTTTCATTTTCGGAATTTATCCTGAATTATTAATTGTGGAGAATTGAGATCTGGTATTCCTACAAAAGAATCTCGAATTTGATTTTTCGTCATGTTTATGGAGAAAGAATTCACAGTACGTCGAAAATATATTTATGATGAAAATGGTTTTAATTAACGTTAATATTCTCTGTAAGAACCTGAGCTCGAAGTGAAGACACGGGAAAACCTTTCGTAAAATCTGTATTATTTTCACAAATTTCAGAATGCAGTGCTCCTTACGATGACATTCCAGTTAGATCCGGAAGAATAACGAAGTTAGCATAAATTAACGAAAGAGAGAGGGATCCACATCACGTTTTGCACCTTAATACGTTAAGATCGCCTGACAACCAGATGGAAACCACTCAACTCAACCATTTTGTCTATATGAATATAATACCCGTACGAATTAACTTTGTACTTAAATAGAACAGTAGGCTGTTGGTCTTCAAATATAAACTTTAAGTTGGTCCGTGTATGACAACAAACAACGGGACAGTCCTACCCAAGCAGTCATTTGTAACTATGGATGAGAAAGCAAGCAGCAGAAACAGCAACGGAATTCCTGCAGGGCGCATTCAGAAGTGGCGGTTCTTTTACAGACGAAGTCTGCCTGCTATTTAAGTAGACAGCACGTGATGCGCTGTAAATTGGACGGGGCTGCGCTACACGGCTGCGCGACGGCAGGGAACTAGACAATCATTTCCACAGCACGATCTTAATATTGGGAATGGGTGTATTTCGCAAAATGCGTGAATTCCATGTGAGTGTTGCATAACTTATAACATAATGTAGTGTGCAGGAGCCGTTGCTATGCAATGACCGCGAGATGGGCGGATATACCAGGGCAGTTTCTAGGCAACGGCTCCGCAACCACGTTCCCGTTACTGGGCGGCAGATTCTTAATAATGCAACAGTTAGACTACAACAATGGAACATCTGTGTTTTCTATGCAGTCCATGCCGAGGGGTTACACGCGAGACGAGGATTGAAGCTTAGCCAATTGAAAGTGAGTTTTGCACGGGATCTGTGAAAACAGGACCTGAGCCGGAGGCAGAGGACTAGCCATTGTTGGAGCCGTTACCAGGAAACGTCTAGTAACAGACAGAACACTAGACTGTGTGTTCTACTGAATTGTAAAGTGTAGAAATAGCGATAATGTTACAGTTATTTGTAGTTACGACCTGCAAGTTGTCAATAAATCTATTCACCAATCCATGCCCCGTCTTCAGTCCCACATACTAAGCGACAACTGGTGTCAGAAGTGCTTGAATTGGACGCCACACTATGGACATGGAACAGAAGATGGCACGCCTGCTGGCTGAAATAAGAACCAACCGAGCAAAAACGGACGCAAATCTAAAGAAATAAAAGGTGCAATGAGAGCCAGCCAAGAACTCCAGAAAGAATAAATTCTGGCCAAGTTAGGTGCCCATCATGAAAGGATGATAGCCAGGACTAACTCCCACCTAGAGAAAACGGAGGCTAGTCTAGAAGAGACCGAGGCCACTGATTTGGGGGAAACCCAGAAGAGGAAGAGTATGTAGCGGTGCATGAGGTCCCTAAGGAAGAGGCAGCAGTGGAAACTTGAAGGAGTCGTATCAAGACCGGCATCTAGCGTTAAGGCGCCGAGGTCAGCCGAGAAAATGGATCCAGGGCAATGGTGGACGGCGGAAGAAGTTGGCCGTCGCCTGCAGCAGGGGGATTAGCTGCCGTGCCATTACTGCACGGCGAAAGGGTCACTGTTGTCAGGGACAAGCCTCTGCCAAGAACTCAGAAAGGACAGCCGTTCGGGAAGAGACGTAGGGGGAAACCGAAAGGCACCAATGAAATAAAAGGGCGAGACTTAAAGGGGCAACTACCTCTGAGGAAGGAGAGGACATCCGGCAGGATCTTCAGGCAAACCGCAGAGCTGAAGATCGCAAAGCAAACAGTGGGAACTTCCTCTAGACTACGGAAAATGAGTAACATAAATATATTCGCCAATCCAAACCCCGTCTATAGTCACTTATACAAGTGATAATATATATATATAGATCAGTATAAATTTTATTTAAGAAATTTTCTCTCACATGAATGCTTCCAACATATGTCCGAAAATATGGGCATTAAAACTAAGAGAATGAAACTTTCAAATGACAGTTTTCAAATCAGTGCCGTTTATTGGGTTTCATCAAAATCTGTCAAAAAGGCAAAGTTGTCCCTGTACTTAAGTAATTAAATGCCATGAAAGCAAATGTGGGAGTGGAGGTATTGTTCAACAATTCTTAACAACGGCACTAGGTCGAGGTGAGTGGTCAGCTTCACTCCCCGGCCGCTTTACCTCCGCGGAAATCGCCCACGGTAGCCACTGGATAGGAAGCGACGTGAGTGGTCAGCTTCACTCCCCTGCCGCTTTACCTCCGCGGAAATCGCCCACGGTAGCCATTGGATAGGAAGCTAGATGGCGCCGAGAACCAGTACGGACGCTGTGGAGAAGAGAAAACTCTTGCCTGCCGGAAATCAAACCCGGGCAGTCCCGCCCGTAGCGCGTCGACATACCAATAAGCTATCCCGGCTCCTCAAAATCTCTTAAAGGTATTACCACGTAGAAGTTCATCTGAGCCTTTAGATTTGCGGCCCCAGCTGCCAGGCACGCGATTACCAGTATGTCTGCGGAACGGCTGTAGCAAGTGGCCTACCTTCTCGGGGTTGAAGTGTCCACCAGCGGCAACGCAGTCATTGCGGATGTCACCCTTCTCGTGGACGTGGAAACCGTGCTTCCCGGGTGTGAGGCCGCTCACCGTTCCGCTTAACTTCACTGCGCCGCCGTCCTGTTCCTGTAGGAATGTGATGTTCCCCACAACCTCATTGCCCCTGTACAGGGTCACTACAGCCGTTCGCTCCTGGGACACACACACACGCAACGCAATTAACTCTTAACCTACTGTACTACATTTCACTATACTGTGTTATGTCATACTATACTATATTATTATTCTTATTCTTTACTAGCGGCACAAGCCTGTGTGGGTCTTGGTCTGTTCCATAGCCTCTGGAGATTTCGTAACAGCTGATTTTTCCTCAACCCTCATCCTGAAGGACCAGAAACTATACTTTGTCTGGCTGCTACCCTTTTACCTGTCTGGCATGGGTGGCGCTACCAGGAGCATACGCTCCCGCCAGCATAGCTCTTCGGGTCATAAGGCGTGAAAACTTTTTCTCCACGATATGGCGGTTACTCCTCGAGGACTGTACTATATTCATAGTCTACTACACTACACTTTCTACATTGTACACCACTGTACCATATACATATATATGTATATAATACGATACTATACTACGCTAAACTATATTGTCATGTATTAATATATTAAAACAATAAGCCTACTTAACCAGTAAAAAATGTATTGGTTTAAACCATTTCGAGAGCCTATTAATGTAAGATTCAGAGAAGCTCAATTTTCGGCACTCTCCTCAGTTACATAAATGAAGATCACACCATATTTCTCTAAGATCCATTTAAGTAATTCGTATCATACAATTTTCACAGTCAGTATCACCACAGGGACAGAGTACTGACCCATGCTTTCTTGATTTAGCGGCCACTTTGTATACAAAAAGACCACCTTCTCGAAAACTATGTGCGTTAAGAGGTACCTTACTGAGTTTAACAGACGGTGTTTGAAATATTTTTGGTTTGGTTAACTGACAGTTACCGTCTGAAAGTACACTGTGACTGGTAATTAAAAATTTGCGTTTAGTAAAAAAAAAAACAACAAAACAAAAAAAACACACACACAAAACCGCAAAAGGGAGACAACTTAGGATCCCTAGGGGTGGATGGGAGATTAGTATCAGAATGGATCTTAAGCAAATAGGGTGAGAAGATCTGGACTAATTTCATCTGTCTCAGGACAAAGTAACGAATCCTCGTATTTGTATGAAGGTCGGGGAATGTCTTCACTAAAGGAACTATTAACACATTCTCAAGGAATGAGGTTAATTATGAATATGAAATTTTAATTTGATTTGTTTCATTCTGGTCCTTCACACTAACAATTACAAAGACAAAACAACTCCGTCCAGTGTGACTATAGAGGTTTTTGCTACTTGAAAACTTTGCACCCTTACATGTTTCGGTCCCTATAGACCATCATCAGAGGGACATCGCTGTGAAAGCAACACAGCACGGCACGAAGAAACACAGGACGATACCAAGAATCTCCTTCTCAAGATAGACAGGCGGCACAAGTTCAGCCCCCGTCAAGAAAGACAATAGGAGAAGGGACACGAACCTATTTGGTTTAAAAATTTAAACTTAAATAACAAAGTTTTAAAAAACTAAAAAAAAAAAAATTTAATATACCAAGAACGTTGCTGTAGTTGTGAAAAAGTTGGATTTTGTATATATTGTGCATTACAAACATTGTATGTATTGTGAAAAAGTTGCATTTTGTATATATTGTGCATTACAAACATTGTATGTATATGTACTTTAACACTCAAATCACCCACTGTGATAGTGGTTTCCAAAAAAGTATCGATGTCCCTCTGATGAAACATGTAAGGGTGCAAAGTTTTCAAGTAGTAAAATCTTCAATAGTCACACTGGATGGAGTTGTTTTGTCTTTGTAATGAAATTTTAAATACCTAACACATATGACAAACCTAACAAGAACGTCGCTTTCGTGACTGTATTGGTTTATATTAAAAATAATTTTAGTTCAGTTTGTTTAATACTGGTTTGAAGTTTAGTCTCACAATGTGACGGAAGATCACAGATGTTTGAGAGGAGAATGACGAGGGATGAAGTATCCTAACCTGGGAAACCTGCCGGATGAGGAGCTTCATAATTTTATTCTTGTCCTAATATGATGATAAAAATAAGGATGATGATGTACGAAAAGGATTGCACGTACGACAGAAATGAGTGTAAAACTCTCATATGAAAACCTAAAAGAAAAAGAACCGCGTGGAAATCTCGACGTAGATGGGATGATAATGTTAAAATGTACCTTAACATTGTGGGGTGTTATGGTGTGGACTGTACTTTCTGATAAAATGCAGCAGAGAAAGTTTTACGTGGAAACGGATCAGTCATTTGTAACAGAACATCTGATTTCTGAACCCAAACAATAATGCATTTTACTTAAATCACTATTCATGCCAGATACGAAATTACACACTCACATCTGCCATTGACGACACTGCCAACGCCACAATGCAGCTGAGAATGCAGAGAACCGCCATGATCCTGCGAAGAAGCAAAGAATAATGACAGAACTCTCAGGCAATGCAAACAGAAGGTTAGCCGCTGGTTACAACACTGAAACAAGTCCTTGTTCCCTTCTCCAGGCAGGTGTAACTCGTTTTACTCAAGACTATTTCCTTGTACATTACTACCTGGTAAATGCGGCACAACACTAAACATTACACCCTGGAGGCATATGGGGAACTAAAATTTGTATTTCCACGCATTGTGAACCTCATGGGAATGGGTAGTTAGCTTCACCCTCGCGTCGTTTCATTTCTCGGGAAAGGGACACTTGACAGGAGGTCGGGTAGGTTCCGGAAGCTGTCATCACAATACTGACGAAGAGAAACCCCTTTACCTTTCCGAGTGCCAAGTAACTTTACCTTGCAAGATAATGCCCACACTGGTTTACTAATGATCAGGGGCCAACAGTTTTTATTAAATCCACTAATCAGACAAATAATTTGGTGGCCATCAAAAAGTAGATCAGTACCATTTGGAGCCTTGCTTTGGCCCCCACCTCCAATCGGCATACCGCCCTACCATCTGTCCTAAACACATACAGGACAGACATATAATACTGACATAAAACTGATTTATTAGGCGTGTACGTACGTATATTACTTAAGTGACAAAGATATTACATACATACACATAATCTTTACAACAACAATATGCATTCTCTTGAACTATATTCTAGCATTCCGACGCGTGGAAATTGCCCAGACCTAGTGCCCTACAGAAGCAATATTCTGCTGCTCTGTCAACCCCAGTCACCGCGGTGAAGACATATGATCCTAGTTCTAATGAGCAATCGATGGAAGGAACAGAGGAATTAAGGAGAACGGAGGCAGAAGAAATCCGAGCCAAATTGCCCTGTCATTATCTACCAGACATTCTGGTCAGGTTAGGAGTGTCTTCCGTGGATTACGTGCCATCATTGCATCTAATGGCAGTGTGAACTGCAAAGCAATGTGAGAGAACTGCTCGTGGTGTATTTTATAATAAAGTCACAGGACTGCAGCTACAGAAAATCAGTAAAGCTAACATTTCAGTAAGTTTCCATAGAAAATTCATTCCTTGACAAGCAAATACACACAAGCACCTTCTTTTTAAACCAATTTCGACATCACTTATCAAGTTATCACTTAACCGACTCTCAGCGATATCTTGGAGAAGGCCCCACTTCTGTGAGCGAAATCCTTCTGTTTTACGGTGCTCAGATCACAGACAACTCGGAAACGATGTACTGCACTGTAATAAGCATATTCAGTTCAAACTCCTCTTTCATATCTCGGCCTTAGAGGGAGAAAGTTAACATGAGTTTGGAGGAACTTACATACAGCAAAGAGAAAATCTGAGCCGGTCACAGTGGCCGCGCGGTCTAGGGCATGAACTTCCTTCGCTCGCTCGAGTGCTGGGATCTTGGGCTCGAAGCCCACTCAAGGCATGGATGTCTGTGCGCGTTTATTCTGTTTGTACTCTCCTGTGTATAGCTAGTGGCCTTGTAACGGGCTGATCACTCGTCCAAGGAGTCGTAGAAAGGGCTGTAGAGCCACTGATGAATGAATGAGAAATTAATTAATTAATTAATGTTATGTAGCATGATTAAATAAAAAAAATGTCATTAGTGGGACGTAGAGCATGCTCTCCATAAAAATGTAGCTATATATTCGAACCTGATGAGGGCTGACGTGGCTGATATTAAAATGCAACATTGAAAAACGAGGTGAGAATGGAAGGTCTGCACCGAACCTCAGAACAGATTCAATAACGGGTCTCAATGAACAAAACATCAGATTTCAGGAATCAAGAACCGACGGAAATTTCTTGATCAGCTAAATAACTATAGACTTTTCACAGACATGCACTGCATCCACAAGTTAATAATTTGCCAGCTGTAGTAGAACGGGCTGACACTAATTCTATATCGAAACATTTCGGAACATGACCAGTACCCACATAACACAAAGTACGCTCACTTCATACAGCGTGAGGTACACACAACCAAAAACACAAAGGTCAGTAAATTACCACCGTAGGGACAACTGACGGACTGAAGGTTATTTAAACATGCAGTTTCACATGCAGACATCACACTGATTTGGAAGATGATTCTGAATGGTGAAAATGTAATCATTTTTGAAAGGTGGCAGTTATGGCATATTTCAAGTAGATGACGGAATGAGTACATAATAACCCTTAAGATTAGCAGGTATCTCGGGCCAGGTTCGAACCTCGCGAGTCTTGAATACAAATTTACATCTACACCAAACGGTTCGGCTTTAACACAATTGATACCATTATTTACATAACATATGCACATACAGTACGTATATACTCATTAATTAGCAAACATCAAACAACCAAATAATGGTACAGTCTTCTTTGAAACGCTGAAAATTATTTAGTATTTTTTTACTGTTAGTGGGGTGGGACTAAGTCCCTTGTACTGCGGCCACTTCTTGCCTATTGTACCAGCCCCAGATGATAGGTGAGGATGATTGTGGAACAATTGGTGGAATAAAGATTGGCAGGGAAAATCGAAGTACTCGGAGAAAACCTGCCCCAGCGCCACTTTGTCCACCACAAATCCCACTTGACCAGACCCGGGATCGAACCCGGGCCGCCGCGGTGGGAAGTCAGCGACTAACAGCTTGAGTTATGGCGCGGCCTTACATTATTCAGTAGCTCAACAAATTCCCTATTTGTATGGAACCTGAAAATTGAGCACCGTGCTCACAAAACCAATGACTGGACTCTGTCCTGTGCCAGTTTAATCTACTTCACTAATTTATACCTTACTTCTTTAAGATACATTTTATTATCCTCCCATCTACCCCAATTTCTCTCAAGGGGTTTCTTTTCCTTGAGGTTTTTCAAACAAATATTTTTATATATTTCTCATTTCTCACGTGTGTGAAACTGTCCGATCTGACTTATTAAAATTTCTTAATTTAATCTCACATCCTTACATAATCATAATGCATAGGCTACACATACAGACACGCCTGCACGATGTTTACTCTCATAGTACATAACACGAATATGAAAGGTTGGGTATATTTTAAATTGTGGTGTTGTGGGTTTCGACACAGTAGTTTTGTAGGTGGTTACCAACATTTTGAAGGAACTTGATATGTTCATCTTCAGGGTAGAAAGAAACGAAGAAATTCTACCCTTCAGACGGCGATAGTGGGTTTCACAGAAATGTTGACAATAACCAATAAAGTATGAGGTGTCCTAACCCAGACGACCACAATTTAAACTGTCGTCGTTTTAAAAACATCGAATTTAAACCAGTAGGCATTTTGTTAATGGCATTAAATAAAATGGCGGAAAGAAACAAGGAGCATGAAGCAAGCATTCACACAGAGATCTGTAGCAACAAGAAGGCAAGCATACAAACAAACAAACAAACAAACAAACATGGTGGCTCAATGGACCTTTTTATTCATTTAAGAAGACTGACTGTTTGTGGACATTGCTTCCTTTGTGGTGAAATTTCCTGTTACAGAAACATCACATTCAAGAGATATGTCATAATCTGGCCAAGATCCAACGGAAGGACTCCATCAAGAATGTTAGAAATCAATATCTTATGACAGCCGCCACCAGCCCACAATGATTTCTCAAAATACAGCTAGCACTATATTCGTATAAGTTAGTCTAAACGTGACAATTCCCTGTTACGACGCTATGTACTTTCTAGGCTGTAAGCGTCGTTAAATAATCCACGCAAAACCCCGTTCTGTGAGTTAAGTTCAATAGAAGCACTTTCGAACATGGTTCCAAGCGTGTAATGTAGAAAATTTATATCATATCATGGCTGCCTGAGAAGAGCAACAGTGAAACACAACTGAATGTTTCAGTTAAAACACGAACTAAACACAGTTACAGCAGTGCTTGAATTCGAACGCAAAGATACAAAACACAGAAGCTGTACGAAAATGTTTATGTATGATTCATTGAAGAAAGATGTCTTTCATCCAATCCTGAACAAATTCCCCACTAGCATTTCTAAAACTTTCTTCCAGCCCATTCAGGGCCCTGGCCTCTTGTTCAGTTCCGTATCATCTTCTTACAGAGGGTAAGACTCCTTGGACGAGTAATCAGCTCGTCGTAAGGCCTCTATCTAAACACAGAATACACGCATACACACACCAAACATCAATGCCTTAAGTGGGACTCGAACCCATGATCCCAGCGTCCGAGCGAAGACAGTTCATGCCTTAGACTGCGCGTCTACTGTGACCGGCTTTCTAAAACTAGGAGCTGAAATAAAGAACAAAATATCCCAAGCGAAAAATCTGCACGTCTGTTTACTAACAAACGAACAGCTGAAACATCGTATAAATAAGAGCTCGGTCCTTTCATGTTCAGACAAACCATACGCGCCGTTGCTAGGATAAAGGAGCAGAAACAACTGGAAAAAATACGGATAAAGTGGGGAAGGGGCCACCTGGACAGAGGAATGGGATAAAAGGGGCGACGAAGTTGTTTTGGCTTGAAAGAGGAAGAAGGGGGAAGAAGACGGACAAAGAGGATATGAGTGTAGCAAGTGAGTAAGGGCGAAATGAGATAAAGATACAAGAGAAATAAAGATAAAATGGAGATCAGTGATTTTTTCGTTCATGTTTGACGGGTCATGTGCTAGCAGTAGGTAACTATTGTGGCGTATAGACCCGTTGATAAGTGGTGACACCGTAAACAGGGGCCGTAGGCAACGCCCGCAACATACACGCACGGAACAATAGAATAACCAGGTTATGCAATCCATTTCTAAGCAACAGCTCGGTAAACAAGTTTCCGCAGAAATGAACACGCGCGCAATAATAGAAGAAATGTGTTTTCGATGTGGTCCGTGCAGAGGAGTTATCTTCAAGACAATTAGGCTGACCAGTCGTCAGTTGAAAGTCAGCTTATGAAGAGAAGACTATGATGCTGGTGTGACATGGCCGCCAGCAGAGGACCAAGTTAGTTGAGGGTTGGCAGTTCAG